GTTTTTTTCAACGTTTATTTATTTTTGGGACAGAGAGAGACAGAGCATGAACGGGGGAGGGGCAGAGAGAGAGGGAGACTCAGAATCGGAAACAGGCTCCAGGCTCCGAGCCATCCGCCCAGAGCCCGACGCGGGGCTCGAACTCCCGGACCGCGAGATCGTGACCTGGCTGAAGTCGGACGCTTAACCGACTGCGCCACCCAGGCGCCCCCCGACGCTGTGTTTTAACAAGCTCTCCCGGCAGTGTTAGCTTTCACTGAGGTTTGAGAAGCCCTGCTCTAGGCTGATGGTTCCCATAGTGTGGTCACCTGACCGCTGGCACAAGCATCACCCGAAATCTTGTTCAAAAGCCTCTGAGACTTTTCCCACAGCAGAAATGCTCCATGGCATTTCAGACGTTCAAGTTCAGATGTTCAAGGACCCCAGAGATGCACAGCCCTGAGTGTACCAAATAACGAATTCTTGGATAAAAATTCTCCGATGCGCGTGTTTCCAGTCTTAGCACTAACTAGAAGGGAACTACCAAGCTCTCCTGGACCTGTTTCCTGTCACTAGATAGTTAACGATAAAACCTTGCAAACCGTCAGCATCTCCTGCCCCGCCTCTGGTTTAGGACGCTGGTTGTCGAATCTGGAGCTCCGGAGGGGGGCTCAACACTGTGTTCTTTTCTTTTCTTTTTAAAAAAAATTTTAACGTTTACTTTGGAGACAGCGACAGAGTGTGAGCGGAGGAGGGGCAGAGAGAGGGGGAGACACGGAATCCGAAGCAGGCTCCGGGCTCCGAGCTGTCAGCACAGAGCCCGACGCGGGGCTCGAACTCACGAATTGTGAGATTGTGGCCTGAGCTGAAGTCGGACGCTCCACTGACTGAGCCACCCAGGTGCCCCTCAACACTTGTGTCCCAACAAGCCCTTCATACAGAGGCAGCCGTCTTCCAGTTCGAGAACCACTAGACCACAGGTCCCATCAAACTACCCACACGCGTGGCCTCATAGAGCATTGAGACTTCTCTATTTCAGCCTGTACTTGGGGCACCTGCGTCTTGACTCTGGGCTGTAGCCCATGTCTGCCCCTCCCTCTCCTCCGTGCTGGCTGAGAAGCATAGCCAGGAGGCGGAAATTCGGCCCAACAACAGCACAATGGGACTCTGGTAACAAAGGTGACATCTACTGGGACTTCCCGAGCTGAGCTCCCCTGCCCTCTCCCCCGCTCCACGGGAGACCTGTCCTCTTCTTGAAGATCGCCCTGTGGTAACCCTGGTTAACAAGTGTGTTTTCCCGAAGGTATCTGGGCCTTGAATGTGAAGAAGAACTCTTTAATGATGGAGGTGATTGAAGCAAGAAAGGCGAAGAGAGACAAAGGTAGGGCTTGGGGCTTAGCAATGGGAGCTCCTGCTGCAGGGCTGGTCGAAGCTTCCAGACCTGGGGAGGGAAGGCAAAGGGGTGGGGCTCCGGGTGGCGGCTCCTGTTATACGCGTAGAGAGAGTATAGCCGCGGAGGACTGTGGTTCATCATGACCTTCGCCTCTGCCAGATACAAGCAAATGCCTCCGCCTGCAAGGTCGTTGCATTCTTTAATAAATATATTTTATTTTGAAGCAATCTCCGTACCCCCAACACGGAGCGCAAACTCATGACCTCGAGCCCAAGGCTAGCATGCTCTATTGACTGAGCCAGCCAGGTGGCCCAAGACCTTTGCATTTTGCATTTGCTTTGAGGGCACAGAAATGAGCCCTCGAGTCTATACTTGGAAGCTTGGGTGTGCGTGTTTTGTATTGTTTTGTTTTGTTTTTGGCGAAAGGTGATGTTGCACATCTTGCCTTCCTTGGGCCGAATAATACACAGTTCTTGCAGGGAAATGAAACCTTCCACAATCCGTTCTTTATTGACAGAGCTGCTCCTAAACGAGCTCCAGCTCAGGAAACGTCCGCCAGGCAGCCTGGGAATAACTGTCCAATCTGCATTTTCTCTGGTTATCCCCACGGCTAGTGTTTTTTTTTTTTTTTTTTTTTTTTTTTTTTTTTTTTTTCACCGAATTTAGGTTGGACACGGCGAGACCAACCTTTTAACTTCCTTGCCTTCCCCAACCCCCAAAGGAACGGGCTGTTTGGTACACTAATGAACAGACTTTCTAGTAAAGCCTCCCTAACCCCAAATGCTTGAAACCTCTGGCCAGCGCTATAGTGAAAAGCTTGAGGATTTTTGATCCCCTTAGATTTGAGTTCAACGCCCCCCATTTGCTAGTTGTGCAAGCTAATCCGCTTCAGTAAAAGCTTTGCATAACTTATTTCTTGTAACCCGCAAGAAGGCTCTATGAGATCTAATCTTGCTCGGCCCACAATTTGACCCAGGAGGCAGCTACGGTTTAGAAGGGCTACCGGGCTTGCTCGAGGTTCACGGTGATCTCGCAGGTAGAGAAGGAGTTTGGACTAAACCGGTCTAATTGCACAGCCCGTGTGTCTCAGGGCTGACCTGTCGCGCGAACCTGTTCCAAGCCCTTCAAACGTATCGTTTTGGCTGATCCTTACAATTGCCTTCCGGTAACCAATTTTGTCGGTGAGAAAAACATTAGACGGTCAGAGTGCGCACAATTTGACGTTCTTCGAAGGTCTGAGGCTGAGCCTGCCAGCCTCCCAAGGTCCCCCACCTTTTACCACCACGCTGTTCTTCAGCTGGTAGACACTCTGGAATGTCACTCTGTCTCCCATCTTTGGATTCGCTCTTATCCCCGCTGAATACAAGGGGTGTAAGGGCCGTTAGGCATGATGGGGGAAACGTTCAAAACGTGGTTCCAAGACCCTCCGATTCGTTGAAGAACTGGACGGTGGTACCCGAGTGCCTCTAAATCACCCGTGTTTCTCTTTGCTGGTAGAACTCACAGAGAACATCGGGCTTCCCCTGAGTCTGCTTGAAAAGCACAGCCCGTGGCCAGCCTATGTCACCTACACGTCCCCGATGGTGAAAAAACTCATTGAGAGAAGCAAAGCCAGGGACCTGGGTTCTATGCAAGCACTTGAAGAAAGCCAGCGGGCCTCAAGGCAGAGCCAACCTTCCGGCATCGCGCAGCTGAAAAGGAGAAAGTCATCTAAGTCCTCCGGAGACGCGATGTCCAAGGACGGGAGGTCAGAGACCATGTTATCGGTATGGAGCACGTATTCGGTGACGAGCCTGGGGCCCGCCGTCATGCCCGAACCGATACGCTTTCATACGGAGTCCAGAGAAAACCCCACTGCAAACTATAACAAGATCATCTTCTCTCGAAAACCTATGATGAGGATCCTTCCATACAGCTCACTTCTAGCCAACAAGGAGACACATTCGAATATTTAGCAGGGAATCCCAGCAACCACCCACCGCCCTCCCTTCCCAAGACGGTACAGCAACGAAGCTCCATTTGTCACCAATTTTATTACGTCCTCTGAATGTGAACTTGCCCCTGCTTGTGCAGAGGTTGGCCGGAGACAAACCGGATCAGAATGTGGGCCGCG